ATGAGGTACCCATGGGTAAGGCGAGTATGGCCAATACAGAGCCAGGAGAAAGCAGTCTGAGTAATGCAACGGTGGTAAGAAGATGGCCACAAACCTAAAAGCAGTTTAAGAGTACAATTAGTTATGGTGCATGCCCAACCACCATTGTTGCCAACGGTCACAAAGACGGGCAGAGAAGACTTAAAAATAATCCCTGAATGGAACACCTCTATAGGAAACCAGAAGCTCATATACCGCTGACCATGCAGCAGCATCTGCTTGTTCATTGCCCTGCACATCGTGTCCAGGGACCCAACAGAAAACTACGTCTTTATTCTTGCTAGCCACACGGCGCAACCATAGTTGAATACGAAGGACTAATGGACGAGGGGAATCAAATTGTTTAATGGCTTGTAAGGCACTGAGGGAATTTGAAATGATCACAAACGTTGAAGGAGACATATACGTAATACGGAGAAGCACAATGAGGATGGCATACAACTCAGCAGCAAAAATACTAGCCGAGTCTAAGAAATGTCCTCAGACAACATCGTCAGGGAACATTGCCGCGAACCCAACACCATCAGAAGATTTGGAACCATCCGTATAAACAGCAATGGCATAAGCATACGATCGGAAGTGATCAAGAAAAAGAGCGAGAAGCAGTTGTAGGTAGGAGAGCTTTGGTGCAGGCAGGAGAAGAGAACAGACATGAACTGTCAGAACCTCCCAAGGTGGAAGGGAAAAGGCAGACGCTAAATGAACATACAAGGGAGGTAGGTGGAGAGAAGACTGGAGTAAGCAGGGGCATTCAACAAATAACGGGCTTTAACTAATGCCTGAGACCAACCTATACGTAGACGAAACACGGAGGTCATGAGAGCGGACAAAGTAACGAAGACAATGAGCATCGTGACAATCAGTTAAGGAAGAGACATTCACCTCAGCACAGAGGTTTTCAACTGGGGATGAACGAAAGGCACCAAGGCATAAACGTAGGCCTTGAAAATGAAGGGGATCTAACTTAGAGTGGTAGGAGAAGCTGCAGAATAGATTTGGTCTCTGTAATCCAGTTTGGACGAGACTAGGGTGGAATACAAAAGGAGAAGAGTTCGGTGATCTGCTCCCCATGAACGATGTGCGAGAATTTTCAGGAGATTCTGCCGACAATGGCAAGTTGCCTTCAAAGAAGAAATGCGAGGTTTCCATGTCAACCGGCGATCAAAGAGAAGGCCAAGAAACCTGACCATATCACATTCTGGAATACGACAGCCGTGTAAATACAATGGAATATCTGGGATAAGAGGACGTCTAGTGAAGGCAATGAAATGGGTTTTCGTACTAGAAAATTTAAAGCCATGAGAAGTGGTCCAATGGGAAACTCAATCACATCCTAAAGGGAGGATGCTACCAGGAGACAGTGCCTGAGAAAGCTATAGAGAAGTCATCCACATAGTGACAACCAAATATGCGATGGAAGAACGAAAGGAAGGTCATTTATAGCTAAGAGAAAAAGGGTAGTGCTAAGGACACGACCCTGTGGGACTCCTTCGGCTTGTACAAAGTCTGAGGAGAGTGAGGTGCCAACACAGACCTGAAAATGTCTATCAGATAAGAAAGCAGCAAGGAAGGTTGGTAGATTGCCACGGAGGCCTAAGGAGTGGGCTTCGGCCAAAATGTCGTACCTCCAAGTGGTGTCATGTGCTTTCTCCCCCCCCCACAAAAAAAAACACCCCTGCCAGGACAGTGTTTGTTAGCAAAGGCATTTCGCACATATCTAAGTGGAGCAAGGGGTCCAAAGTAGAGTGGCCCTTGCAAAAGCCATATTGGCAAGGGGAAAGACTACTGTGAGTCTCGAAGAACCATATCAGACATCTATTCACCAATCGTTCCATCACCTTGCAGACTACATTGGTCAGGGTGATGGGATGATAGCGAGATGTATCAAGCCCCGAGGTGCATGGTTTGCAAAACTGTAGTACAATGGCAGATTTCCATCGTTGAGGAAGAACCCTTCGCACCCAAATAAGACTGAAAAGATGCAAAAAGGACTGGAAGGGTCGTAGAATGCAGATGCTGTAGCATATTGATGTGAATATCATCAGGTCCAGCTGGCAAGTGGAAATCGTGGATTAGCTCTAGGAGAGTGAAAGGTATGTTATATGGCTCCATTCCATTAGAGGAGAAATCCAAGAGCAATTGCTCCTGGTAGACTTAGACACACGAAATGAGGGACAAAGGTGAAGCACTTGGGAGACACGACCAGATAGTTCCCGATTTCTGTGACAACTTCAAGAAGTTCTGCAATACATACTAACACCAGCAACCCACAAAACGGGAGTTGGGTCCAGAGTGTACCTGCCACACAACTTCTGTACCTTCTTCCAAACCGCACACACGGGGGAAAATGAGGTAATGGTAGACATGTAGTCTTGCCAACAAGTGCGTTCAGCATTGCATATGATGTGGCGAGCAACTGCCCTGGCCTGCGTAACCTAACCTAATTCTAAGAAGTAACCTCACACTCCTAGGCTAAATATACACTACAATTACATACTACTATATATATATTTAAGCCAAGTAAGAGATAGTTGTTAGCTTACTGTAGTAATTATACATCCCAAACTTTAAGTACACCTTAGGCACCCCAGCCCAGCAGTTTGAGTGCTGGTGGGCTGAGCCAATGGCAAGTAGTACCAACCAATGTAGTGACCGAGACACACAAATCCCCGGCCATGTGTGGTAAATTACCAATTGCGTAACTTACGTACCAACAGCATGCAAGCATCCTCGGCACCAGGAGCAGGCAGCTGTAACGGACTCTACAGGTATTTCTCAGTTATCCCCTGCCCCTAACACTACCATGTGAGTATTGGTGAATGCATTCAGGTGTATACACATGGGCAGAGGTGGCACCCACAACCTGAGATTACCACAATCAGCTGCCATACACTGCCTACTCTGAGGAATAAGGTCAGTACTCCACTGACTGAAATTGCATTGAAGTGCATGGCAGGCTTCAGACGGGACTCACAGCTGAAACTAGGGATCACTAACCCAACTAAGCTATGATGCACAAACACTGCCTCAATTTTCCATAGGAGCCTCCACCGCTTCTTACGCTGAACGACCAGTATGGGTTTAGAGTTTCACTTAAACAATATCAAGGTAGTATGGAAATAGTGGAGATAAACTCCATTACCAGTTTTAAGAGTAGGTATGACAGGCCTTAAGAAGTCGAAGACCATTAATGCTTGTACACAAAACTTAAGAGACAAAACTAAGAGCAAACGTCAATCACTGTAAATACAAATCAATACGTGTACAGGAGGACCCCTGCTTTACGGCACTTTGCTTTACAGTTTCGCTAATATAGCAGTTTTCAATTATACCTATTCTACATTTATTTAGGCTTCCTACGATAAATATATTCACCACTCATTATAAGCCAAGTGTGAAAATAAAGCAATGTGTGTACTGTATAAACATTTTTTTAGGCCTAGCTCTATTGTTCACTACCATATACACCTACCATCCGACTTACGACCTGCTCGACATACGTCCACTTGACTTACAACCGTGCATCTGGCAGCTGGGCTGGGCCGGCTGATGCACACCACTGTGCAATATTTGACAATACTCGCGGGGGCAATGTGTCATGCAGGCAGCATCAGTTTGAGTAACCCTGCCCTATCAGCAGCATCATACTGTGTTAACTGTACTAACTGGACAGTAAATTTCACCATGGCCCCTAAGATGAAGTCTGAATCTTGCACTGGAGATTGTGGCAAGGCTCTTACTCTTGAACTCTCTATCTGTTTTCACTGTTGCACATAAACCTGTCTGTATCTGTCTGCCTGTATATCTGTCTGTATCTGTCTGCCTGTATATCTGTCTATCTCTGTGTGTCTGTCTACTAGTGTGTGTCTACCTGTGTGTCTGTCTACTAGTGTGTCTGTCTGTCTGTGTGTCTGCCTTTGTCTGCTTGTCTGTCTCAGAGCCACTCATTAAGAGTGTACTTGGTCTTGAAGATGCCATATTAATAATAATAATAACAATAATAATCACTGAGGCGAATTAAATGTGTATAAAACGTTAATATAGACATTTTGCTTAATCCATCTATGATTTTTTTTTTCAAAATTATATAATTAACATGCTACATAACATATAAATTAACAAATATGAGATGTTTTTCTGGTCGGCTTGACAGTGAACAGGAACCGTTCGTGTCCGGGCTGGTAACAACAACAACGTTTGTTTACATAACTCGTGAACATTCTACATTCTCTCTCATTTATTCATTTAATCTTGTTTACTCACCTCTCACTCTACATTAAAACTACAGATATTTTAAGGTAAGTAATGAGTGGACACGATTATTATATTATAGCTTAATAATATTAGTACATATGTATTATTGTAATAATAATGATTATTAATATTATTAATTTAGGGCACTGGAGCACAGATCCACTGTATAGCACTTTGTCTGGATTTTTGGGGTTATCCTAGGTAATTTATAATATGATAACTTGACTTATGTGTACCAGAGAGAGAGAGAGAGAGAGAGAGAGAGAGAGAGAGAACAGAGAGAGAGAGAGAACAGAGAGAGACAGAGAGAGAGAGAGATACAGAAGAGAGAGACAAGAGAGAGAACAGAGAGAGACAGAGAGAGAGACAGAGAGAGAGACAGAGAGAGAGACAGAGAGAGAGAGATAACGAGAGAGAGACAGAGAGAGATAAGAGAAGAGATATAGAGAGAGATAGAAAAGAGATAGAGAGAGATAGAGAGAGATAAAGAGAGAGATAAAAATAAATATATATAAATATATATAAAATGATATTACAATATAAACATACAAAGAGACAGCCACATTCGGTCAGCCAGTCAGCCAACTACACACCCACCCACCCAGCTAGCCAACCACAGACCCGGCCACCCAGCCGGATACGTATTACACATGTTCCAGAGTTGTTTCTCTTTACTTAGGGTATAGGTTATACAACATTCTGGCAGGATGACACTACCAGTGGTATTGTCCCATTCCACTGTGTCGACAATACATAAAGATAATAGTAACATATGATACTGTATGCGATGTAAAATTTACAATACGTACATATCACTACCATGTATACATTATATACAGTACATAAATAATTAAAATACAACAATATTAGTAAATTATGGTAAAAAGAATGAAATAATGATTGTACATTACATCACAGTATTATGTAGGTAGTTTATATAGGAAAAGTTTTGACATTATGCCCTACCCAATATGTCGCCAATTTTCAAAGGTTCGACTTGCATCCATTTCGACTTACAACCGGTTGGTCGGAACCAAGCTTGGTCATAAATCGGATGGTAGGTGTACTAAGTGAGCATGTTATTAGGCTTTTATGTGCATTTGCAAGTGATTTTCACTCTACAGCAGTAGCCTGGAACCTAACCTGCTGTTAAACAGGGCCCTCCTGTACATCTGGGAAATGAAGAAGGGTGATAAGAACAGGAAAACATAAAACAAATAAATTTATAGTCACAGTTATCTTAAGTGACTATAGTAATGGATACAGCTTCTACATTATTATCATAGGGGGACAGCTAAACCTGTAGGGATTATACAACACCTGGGAAAGGTTGTGGAAGGCATTCAGGCCTAATTCAGGGAAGTGGAGCATAGATCCAATTCCCTATTATTATTATTATTATTATTATAATCAAGGGGGAAGCACTAAACCCAGAGGATTATACAGCGCCTGGGGGGGGGGATGTGGAAGGTATTCAGGCTTAATTCGGGGAAGTGGAGCACAGATCCAATTCCCTAAATCAAGAGCCAATCACCAACATCAAGGAACCTTCCTTGAGGGGTACAACTTCTACAAATTTAGCACTAGCTCTGATTAAAATGGATCTGTTAAGAGTAAAATAAGATTGTGCTACAATAACACTGAAACAATACTAAGATTTGATAAAAAGCAGAATCTATCTTTAAAGGTTCCTATTTTTATTTATTGTACTGGTGGTCACTTCAGAACTTACCCACTTCTACCTAAAAGAAAAGCTGCAGGTATTTTTGGTTCTCTGTTAGTATTATCGTCCACCATCTCGATATAGAGCTCATCATTATCAGGGTTGTTATCCATCACTATAACAGCAAGTGCACCAGCCTCTTCAGCTTTCACTGCTTTACTTACAAATGAACAATCCCTAAAAAATAACATTAATATTAGAAACTATTTCATCCTGTATTATAAGTAAAATCCAAAAAGACACTCGCCAGCAATCTGGTCATTTGATTAATCTCTTGTGGTAAGGATCATACTAATTAGCATATTTCTTTATGTAAGTTTATATATCTTTTTGTGAACAGCACTACCAATGGATTGCTTATTATCAAAGAAGTCGAGTCTAAATAAATAGGAGTAAATTAAATGCTTTCTGCATAGCAGTTAACTTGTGCAGTGTTTTCATATCCTCTGCATCAGGGCTAAAATGTGAGGATACTGACAATGTTTATACAAAAAAAAATCACCTTGGAAGTCGTGTCTATGGAAGAGGCAGGCCACCTATATTTATATAGCTTTTGCTTCCCTCCATTTACAGGATTAAAGTAGAAATTATATAATGTTAATACAATACCTACATCATGCATCAGTTTGTTTATTAAACTCCTTATTTTGTGACAAACAAGCACTGTGGCTGATCTGCTCACCCTTCTTTCCCTTATTTCTATCACAGAAATCAAGGAAAATTGTATTTTAGATTTTTTATTTAAATTAAATTAACATGAATTAAATAGTTTATACAGTGGAACCTCAGTTTTCGCGATTAATCCATTCCAGAGAGTGACGAAAACCAAAACAATATATCCCATAAGAAATAATGTAAATCCAATTAATTTGTTCCAGACACCCAAAAGTATAAACAAAAAATACATTTTTTAAAGTCTAAATATAGATTTACATACAGAAAACAATGACAAATAAATATAAAGCACTAATAAAATGTCTAAAGAACATTTAACATCACGCTTACCTTTACTGAAGACTCTTGCTTGCGTATAAAAGACGCGAGGAGGGGAGGGGAAGGAAAGGTTATCTCTACCACCCTCTACCAGGGTAATGTTCACTCACCAAGAAACAATGCCACACTGACTCAGAATGCATGTGTGGGAGGCTTTGTGTGCGCGCAGCACTGAGACATGTTCGGTATGACCGACGAAACCAGAGGTAATTCACAAAAACAGAGACAATATTTTAATGAAAAGAGTCAGTGATAACCAAAAATGATGAAATCAGAGGCTAACTAAAACCAAGGTTCCACTAATATGCATACTAATATGCTACTGAAGCCCCTTGGGGCCATGCCATTCCTTCAATCCAACTTTTCATAATTTTTTAGTAATTTGTGCTCATAAGATAGAGGGGACATTATTCTGGGCATATTTATTTAGTAAAAAGCCCTCACCTTATGGCCAATAATATACAGTAGATCTGAGAGAAAAACATTATGCCTTTATGTTGACAACCTAATACAAGTGTACGTGCATACATGTACACACTTAAAGTTTTTCCATCGCAAAATAAGAAAGCATGGTTAGCACATATTAATTTAGTGATGAGTTCCTGGGCTAATTATGAATCATTTGTCAAAAACTCAAACCTGACTACTCTTACATAAAAATAATACGGAACTACACAATTATTTTTGGATACCCTGAGACCAGGAGCTTTCTATTAGTAACATTATTACATAACCAATATTAATTACCCATATTAGTAATGGCAATAACCGCTACAGATTACATCTACCTTTGGTATAAACCTTGGTAATAAATACCAACAAGTTGGTTTAGAAAAACATGTAAGCAAACACTAGGACATATTTATTAGAAAACGTTTCAGTCCTGAGACCTTGATCACTTCTAACAGAGGTTAAAAGAGTATATACAGGAGGAGAGTGAGGTATGAGTAACGCATGGTGACCTGAAGAATGCCATATTGGGATGAGGACAGGTAGATGATGAGATCATGTGACTCCTGTGATGATGAGTAGGTGGTGCTTTGCCTGGCTGAGTATAACATATGCAAATGTTTTAGAAATTTTGTGGTTTCCAGTGTTGCGTTCTATTGTGTCGGTGACGGCGATTAGCGAGGCTTCTAAGGTCTTGTGTGGTGAGAATGAGTTGTGCCTCATCCCAGTTCATCAAATGCTCCGTGGAGTCTCTGTGGAGGCATTTTGATGCTCGTTCAGACCTACATTTCTTGATGAAACAGGCAGAGATCTCGTGGTGCGTCTGAACGAGCATTCAAATGGCAGTAACAGAGACGACTTAAGGTATGCCTCTGTCCTCCACTAGGAGGAGGCACAACTCGTCACAGAACACGACCTTTGATGCCAACAGTGTCTAAAAGCCTTGCTAATCGCCATCACCAACAATAGAACGCAAAACTGGAAACCACAAAATTTTTAAAACATTAGCATACATGACACTCAACAAGGCAAAGCACCACCTACCCAACAACAAAGGACGATTTCAACCACAGGGAGATAGAATGGGAAAACCTGAAGTCACATGGGGGTCCCAAAACATGGATAGCCAAAATGATGGATGTGGTACTAGAAAACCTCATGCATCAACATGCCAGGGACACTACCAGAGAGAGAGGGGAGGATGAACCAGCAAGACTGGACCTTGTGTTCACCCTGTGCCATTCAGACATTGAGGACATCACTTATGAGAGGCCCCTTGGAGCTAGTGATCATGTGGTCCTGAGTTTTGAATATATATTAGTTACAAGTGGAGAGAGTAACAGGAATTGAATGGGAAGTCAAACTATAAAAGGGGGGGACTACACAGATATGAGGAACTTCCTGCAGGAGGTTCAGTAGGACAGAGAACTGGTAGGAAAGTCAGTAAACGAGATGATGGAATAATTTTTTTTTTTCCCAACAAGTCGGCCGTCTCCCACCGAGGCAGGGTGACCCAAAAAAGAAAGAAAATCCACAAAAAGAAAATACTTTCATCATCATTCAACACTTACACCACACTCACACATTATCACTGTTTTTGCAGAGGTGCTCAGAATACAACAGTTTAGAAGCATATACATATAAAGATACACAACATATCCCTCCAAACTGCCAATATCCCAAACCCCTCCTTTAAAGTGCAGGCATTGTACTTCCCATTTCCAAGACTCAAGTCCGACTATATGAAAATAACCGGTTTCCCTGAATCCCTTCACTAAATATTACCCTGCTCACACTCCAACAGATCGTCAGGTCCCAAGTACCATTCGTCTCCATTCACTCCTATCTAACACGCTCACGCACGCTTGCTGGAAGTCCAAGCCCCTCGCCCACAAAACCTCCTTTACCCCCTCTCTCCAACCCTTTCGAGGACGACCCCTACCCCGCCTTCCTTCCCCTATAGATTTATATGCTTTCCATGTCATTCTACTTTGATCCATTCTCTCTAAATGACCAAACCACCTCAACAACCCCTCTTCTGCCCTCTAACTAATACTTTTATTAACTCCACACCCTTCCCTAATTTCCACACTCCAAATTTTCTGCATAATATTTACACCACACATTGCCCTTAAATAGGACATCTCCACTGCCTCCGTCTCCTCGCTGCTGCATTTACCACCCAAGCTTCACACCCATATAAGAGTGTTGGTACTACTATACTTTCATACATTCCCTTCTTTGTCTCAATAGATAACATTTCCTGACTCCACATATACCTCAACGCACCACTCACTTTTTTTCCCTCATCAATTCTATGATTAACCTCATCCTTCATAAATCCATCCGCCGACACGTCAACTCCCAAGTATCTGAAAACATTCACTTCTTCCATACTCCTCCTCCCCAATTTGATATCCAATTTTTCTTTATCTAAATCATTTGATACCCTCATCACCTTACTCTTTTCTATGCTCATTTTCAACTTTCTACCTTTACACACATTCCCAAACTCATCCACTAACCTTTGCAATTTTTCTTTAGAATCTCCCATAAGCACAGTATCATCAGCAAAAAGTAACTGTCAATTCCCATTTTGAATTTGATTCCCCAAAATTTAATCCCACCCCTCTCCCGAACACCCTAGCATTTACTTCCTTTACAACCCCATCTATAAATATATTAAACAACCATGGTGACATTACACATCCCTGTCTAAGACCTACTTTTACCGGGAAATAGTCTCCCTCTCTTCTACACACCCTAACCCGAGCCTCACTATCCTCATAAAAACTCTTTACAGCATTTAATAACTTACCACCTATTCCATATACTTGCAACATCTGCCATATTGCTCCTCTATCCACTCTATCATATGCCTTTTCTAAATCCATAAATGCAATAAAAACTTCCCTACCTTTATCTAAATATTGTTCACATATACGCTTCAAAGTAAACACTTGATCTACACATCCCCTACCCACTCTGAAACCTCCGTGCTCATCCGCAATCCTACATTCTGTCTTACCTCTAATTCTTTCAATTATAACCCTACCCTCTATAATTTTTACTATCTCTTTTGTCCCCTTTCCCTTTATATAAAGGGACTATACATGCTCTCTGCCAATCCCTAGGTACCTTCCCCTCTCTCATACATTTATTAAACAAAAATACCAACCACTCCAACACTATATCCTCCCCTGCTTTAAACATTTCTGTCATGATCCCATCAGTTCCAGCTGCTTTACCCCCTTTCATTCTACGTAATGCCTCACGTACCTCCCCCATACTTACATTCTGCTCTTCTTCACTCCTAAAAGATGGTATACCTCCCTGACCAGTGCATGAAATTACCGCCTCTCTTTCTTCCTCAACATTTAAAAGTTCCTCAAAATATTCTTGCCATCTACCTAATACCTCCATCTCCCCGTCTACTAACTCCCCTACTCTGTTTTTAACTGACAAATCCATACTTTCCCTAGGCTTTCTTAACTTGTTTAACTCACTCCAAAATTTTTTTCTTATTTTCATTAAAATTTATTGACAGTGCCTCTCCCACTCTATGGAATATGACGGAACATGTAACAACAAAATGCAACGAGGCAGAGGAAACGTTTGTTCCCGAGGGCAACAGAAATGATGGGAAGACCAAAGCGAGTCCTTGGTTTACCCGAAGGTGTAGGGAGGCAAAAATCTAAGTGCACAAGAGAATGGAAAGGGTACAGGAGGCAAAG